GTGGTTCAAGTGCAAAGAAGAAAAACATTTGTCTGATAAAAATATCAAATTCAGTTCCATTAATGTGTGTTTTTTTCGGAACAGGGACTGAATACATTTACTTGGAAAGGGAAGGGTGGAAGGAGATTGGAGGAGATGATTGCAGGGAGGGAAGCATCTCCTCTCAAAACCCACCCATCCCTCCACGCGCCCTCCACTTACCTGCCTTTCACACATCATCGCCGGTGACCTAGAAGCCACTGGACAATGTTTTACTAGCCCAGATTCTGCCTGTCTGGGCTCTAAGTGTAGTATAATTGTGCCCCCCCCCCCCCTTTTTGGTAAAAATCGTGCATTTGGGAAGCACAGGCCTGGACACAGCTTCCTGTCGGCAGGAAGTCTGCAGGCATGAATTCTGGACGCTGAGGGTGCGGGGCTGTGTTCTCAGCAGAAGAGAGGAGAGAGGCTGGGTCCCAGTCGGGACCTCCAGCTTCACTCTGGCAGGAAGAGGCCACCTTGCTGGGCTGTCACTGGTCGGGGCGGAGGCCAGGCGGCCTTGAACAGAGAGACCAGGCCTCCCCGCTCTCTGAGGGGCAGGAGCCACCCTACTCCTCCGCTGTGAGTTCTGGAATAGGGGCCTGGGGTGGGGATGCTGCAGCAACACCTTTCTCCCTCTGCTATGCCTTTTGAGCACCTCAGCCTGCTTCCTGGGCTCAGTCAGGCCTACGGGGGCCTCCTGGGGGCCTAGGCATCCACTCTGTGTCTTGGGGGGCAGTGGGCAGCCAGCGGTCCCAGCCTGTTACCTCCGGAAGCTCTTCTCGCCCGGTGGCCGGGAGCTGAGGCGGGAGCCGGGAAGCAGACCATCCGTCTCCTGGCTGTCCTTCTCTTCCTCCTGAAGGGACCCGTCTCCCAGGAAGTCCCCGTCATCCCAGGAGCCCACGGTGCCGTCTGTGTCCTGATACCGGACCTCCACGCACAGGGTGGTCTGGAGGGAGAGAGAGGGCTAGTGAGCAGCGAGGACGGCAGCAGCAGCCATAATCCCACACACGTGGCTGCTTTGTGATGTTTGCAAAGCGCTTTCCCACGCTTAGCTCAGTGGAGGAAGGCAAGCTGGGGACCATCCTTCCCCATCTCCCATTTTGCAGATGAGAAAACAGAGGCTCAGAAAGATGGACATTCACAGTCAGCCAACCTAATAGGCTCCAGCTCTTGGCTCTATTCCTCCCGGTGCCCAAGGTCAGGGCCCGCCCTGGTGAGTTGAGCTTGGATTGGGGGTTGACTCCCTGAGCCCACTGTGCACATAGTCAAGAGCATCATCCAGCGTTCCAGGGAGTAGGTCACCCTCTGGTCCTCTGAACCAGGGCTGCCTGGAGGGATGAGGGTGACCTCCCTGAATCGGCTGACCTGAGTCACCTCCTCCCGTCTCACTCTCCATCCATGAGGATGCCCCACCCTGAGCCACTCTGTGTGTGTGGGGAGGAGGTGAACAGGCCCTCGGGTGACCCCGCAGTGGGCAAGTCCAGGTGCTCTCTGGGGCCACCCACCTTGATGATAGCGTTGTTGTCATCAATCAGCGTGTCGGTCACCTCCACGTGGCTCTCCTCTACCACCTTCTGCAGCACCATGCGGAAGGTCCCGATGAGCCTGTGGACGCAGGGGACATGGGTTTCAGGGGAAGAGGCCAGAGCGAGGAGGGACATCCCCAGAGGCTGTGAGTGGCAGGGAAGGGGAGAGCGGGCTGGAGAGAGGGAGGGCTTGTTCAGGCTCTTGCCTGGGGCTGTGGAGGGGACACTCCACAGCCAGGGTAGCATGGCCAGGAGGACATGTGACCCCCCACAACTGCGTGTGGTGTATGTGTGAGACCCATTTTCCCGGGAGTGCTCGAGGGCAGTGAGCACCCAGGGGGATGTTCACAGACCAAGGAGACAGGGTGGAACGGTGCAGCCTTCTGTTCTCTGGGTACGTGGACTCGGGGTTCCACTGAGCCCCTGAAGAGCAGCGTCCAGATGCCCAGCGCAGAGGCTTCTGGGGAAGGACTGGACCCGTGAGCAGCTCCTCCACGTTCAGCCTCCCTAACCGTGACCGCTGGCTCATGCATCCCTGTTTGTCAGTGTGATGCCACCAGTGGGCATGCTGCAAGCTCCTCGAGGGTGAGGACCAGGCGACAGCGGGATCCCCACACTCCCAGGCAGCGCTGTGAGCAGCACAGTCTTGGAGTCGGAGGCTTTTGACGGATTGGAAGCCCAGCTCTGACACTCACGGGCAAGTTGCCTGCTTCCCAGGCAGTTTACTTGGGCCCTCAGTCCCAGTTCTCTCTGAACTTGGCCGAGGTGTCCTTTATTGGACCAACTGAGACCCTCTGTGCCAAGCCCTCACCAGAGCTCGGAGCACACAGCGCTCAGGAAGCAGCCTGGTGGTAGAGAGGTGTGGGGTTGGGGGGCGGGGGGTTCCTGTGAGTGTCTCCAGGACAGGGTTGGTTCCCTGTTTCAGCCTCTATTTGGCATTTCCAGCACATCGGAGACCTCAGCATCTGCTGGCTGCATTAATGAACACAGTGGGTGCCCATGAATGCTGAGTTGACTCGAACCCCATTCCACCGTGTGGTTTGGAGGTGTTGCTTTGGGAGAAGGCGACTCTGCATGTGGATGAACACATACACAGCCCTTCCTGTTGAGGGACAGACACCAAGGGGGGCATCCACAGTGCGTGAGAGCTGAGGGGCAGGGAGGCTGGGGGCCATCTGGGGCTGCCCTTGGTTTATAGAGGAGGAAGGTGAGGAAGAGAAAACAGGAAGTGACATAGCTAATCAATGGCAGATCCAGGGGAGGGGAGGTATGGAGTGAATTCCCACTTAACAGGCAGGGAGTCCATGGCGGGAGGAAGTGGTAGGAGCAGCCACATTGGATGCACATGAAATGCTTCCCACCTGCCAGCCCGCCTCCCTCCCTGAGGGCAGAACTGTCCATTCCATTCCTCCCCTCTGAGCCTGAGTAGGCTCGTAGGAGCTTCTCCGACCTCGTTCTGCTGTAAGGCTTCTTCCCTCGCAGCATCCTGGCCTGTCTCCAGCTCGGGCAGTGCACAGAGACCAGGGCTGGCCTGGGCTCAGGGACCTGGACCCCCCGCCCCCCGCCTCTAGTTCAATTTTGTCTTTATAAAGTGAGGGAGGGGGGTTCCAGCTCCCATACTGTGTGGGCATTCTAACAGACCACAGGCATGAAAGAACACCCTGGTCTTCTTGCAGCCCCCTCTTTCGGTTCTAACTCAGTGGTTCAAACTTCAACGTGAAGGTCACCTGGAGGACCTGATAAAACACAAAATACCGGGACCCACCTGCACCCGGTTGCAATGGCCAATGTTTGATGACTGGCTGGGGAGGGGAAAGGCAGGCCCGACCTGTAGCTTTTGCAACTTCATGGTGTACACACTCCACCGATGGCCAATTTCTGGCTTCCCAGGGCAAGTCACTGAACTTGAACTTGGAGTTGGGAGAGGCTTGCACCCAGCACATGTGCTCCAGCTCCAGCTCAGCTCCTGCTCCACCCCGCCCCAGGGCATCTGATTCAGCAGGTGGGGCCAGAGAATGCGTGTTTCTGACAAGTCTCTGATGCTGATGATGCTGGCTGCCGGGGGCACAATGAGAATTTGTTCTGCTGCTGCCCTTTGCTGACTGGAACTTCAGACTTTTTGTTCCACTAGGAGCTGGTTAGCACCCCATGAAGGGGGGGGGGGGGGGGGTGGGGGGGGGGGGGGGGGGGGGGGCACTCAGGGACATCCTTCCCTGGCAGATGCCCCAGAAGGCAGAGAAGGCCCAAGGACAAGCAGAGATGCTGCAAGGCGGCAAGACACCCCCAGGGGGCAGGATGGAGCTATTCCCCACAAGTGCTCAGAGAAGCTCTGGCGCCTTCCAGGCCTAGCTAAGGGTAGCGTCTCAGACCTTTAGACTTGGGAGCGGCTTGGAGGAGAGCGTGTCCAGCATTTTAGTAAGAAAAAGTCACTCAAACACCCTCAATGACATGTTCTCAAGCCCGTGCCTGACTCCCCTCACGGAGCTCACTGCCCCACGGCTATGCTCACAGCTACGCTCACAGCTACGCTCATCCACCTGCCACGGCTTTAATCACACCGTCAGACAAGGTGTGCCTTCTGGCAAACTCCCATCCCCGATCCTCATGCCCTGGCCCAAGCCCTGTGCACACACAGACTATGCTATCAAGCCCTGTGCCATCCCCAGAGGGAGGCAGTGTAGACGGCAGCGTAAAGAGCCGGGCTCTGAAGTCAGACAGAGATGGCGTCTGAGGGGGATTCTGCCACCTGGCAGCTGTGTGTCTTCGGCTAGTTTTCCGACCTCTCTGAGCCTGGCTTTTCCCCATCTCCCCAGAGAAGGTGATGCCCTCGCTTCGCTGTGCGGTGGTGAAAACACCCAAGTGAAACTCCTCTGACACTGCACGCTCAGATGTGGGCCTTCTCCCCTCTGTGTGCAGGGGTGTGCTGTCTGGATGGCTCGTGCAGGGCGGGCCCCCCCCCCCCCCCAAACAAAAATAGAAAATAATACTCTTTGACATGGACAATAAATATTGTCTTCGTCTTATGGAAAGTATGAAGAAAAGCATTTTTATAAAACTTGGCTCTTCCTACAGGTCTGTAACGTACCATCTAAGCAAAAACAATGCTTGCTATAAAAACACAGCTCCCACGAGTGCCTTAATCCTTAATCCTGCTTCCAAAAGAATGGGGCCCTTCAGCCCCACTCTATAGACAGGAAGGAAGCCCTGACTTTGGGGTGCATGCTGACTCCCAGGCAAGCCCTCCCACCCCAGCCGCCCTTGCCCAGCCGGGCTGCAGGCTCAGTGGGGTCTGCCTTTTGCCGCTGCTCCTCTGGGTGG